TTTTTTTTTCACATAGTATCTATGGATATATCAGTGATTGATGAGGATTTCTTGGTTCTGTTGTTGTGAACTTTTTTCCACCCTTACAGGCTCAATGCCAAATCCATTTTTACAATGGAATCCTTGGTTTTTACAAACGTCTATACCAACGCAGAATAAATCCATGACACCTGGAATGTTTCAAGTACCGCATGTTGATTCTTCCAAACAGTGGAATTCACCGAACAGTGTTGATAGTGGCCAGAAAAGTGAATGTTCGTCGAGTAAGATTCCAGTTCCACATCTGTAATACAGAAAATTATAAACAGAAGAAAGAGGGAAAGAAAAGACGTTCATCCTTAGAAGTTTATCAAACATGTTCAATACTAATGGAGTAAATTTCCTAAACGAAGTTCGTCTTTACAGCTGATGGACCACACATTGATCCTGTTGGCATGGAAATTGGTGAAGCTTCTCCAGTTTCATCGTCATCGGAGAAACATACAAGTCCTGAGGTGGGGTTACACAGGACCATTTTTTCCAGTTTTTTCCGCACCCATTATCCCATGAAGCTTTTCAGTTTTCTTAAAAGTTTTTTTGCGCACCATTTTCTAAAATTAAAAAATTTTTCAATAATATTGTTTGTTTCAACCATTCGTAATACGATTTTTAGATACGACAACGGCTAATGTTGGGTGCTTAGGGAAATAGTCTTGTACAGTGAAAACGACCTGTATTTTTTGGATCAAATTTTGTTCCTATAGTGTGAAAATTTTGTTGCAAGTATCTTAATTTGCTTTCTTTATGTAAGTTAAAGGTGCCTCCAATTGTTTTCACACCAAAAGCTGAACCGCTATCTGCGCTAAATCCATTGATTCTGCGTCAACATATGGAGCAGCAACGGTGCGTTAGCAACAGCGATCGATCAAAGGAACAATTGTTGGAGAAACCACAGCATCAGAATTTTTCGTTCACCAATCACAACGATAGGGATGAGGATCATAAAATTTTAAACGATAATATCATTGTAGGATCTAGTTTTCTTCCATCTTTTCTTTCCTTATATGCATTACTCAACAACTCCATGTTTTGCTATAAGACGTTGTTACAACTTGACGAAAAAGAATACTTGAGTTATTATTCTATAAAGTTAATAAGACTGATGCTTTCCATATTACCTCGTGTCAAGACAACAATAATGAAACAATTATTTTGATACAAAGTTTTTTGTGCCTTTTTTCTTGCTACTGTTGATGACATAGGAAAAAAAGTGGATACTTTAAACTTTACTAGGTAATTTTCTGAAATTTATTTTTGTATACAGAAAGGTGGACCGCTAATTCCGCGAGGAGTTGATAACGGTATCCGATGCAATCAGCTCTCCCAAATGCAGTTTGTACAGCATCTACTGAGCAAAAAACAATTTGCACCATCACTAGCAGCTCGAACACCATCAAATCTGTCATCAGTTATTGCTGAGAGAAAAGTTTGTCACAACTGTTTTTCAGTTTTTTTTTTTTCTGTTCAGAGTATCAAATTAATTTTTGAATGTCGTTTTCAAACCTCTTTTTTTTTCGGTATAATATACGTGCTGTATTTCTGTGTGCCTGTTTGGTAAGTGTTACCAGTTTTTGTTCTTGTTTAACAGTAATTGAAATGGATGTTTTCATTATCAACTTTTACGAGTGGGTGTTTATCTACAGAAGAAAAGAAAAAAAAAGTGAAATTTGTGAACAAAACATGTGAATTAAAGGGCTTATTTTTTTTATTCGAAGAAAAAAGAACATTGAAGATTGGATAGCGGTATTGAAGTTCACCGCTGTTTTTCTTTCCTTTGTTTTTTACTTCTTTTTTTGGGATTTGTGTTATTTTAAATGGATTTGATTTTGTTCAGTTGGGTACAATGTTTGCTAAAGTAGGTTGATGTTGATGGAAAGGTGTAATAAACGATTTTTTTAGAAAGCTGTACCGGATGATTGCTTAAAGATGATACGACGTAAAGGTATATCGAAAAATACTATAGAAAATATTAAAATTCCAGTACCACAAGCAACCAAATGCGACCCAAGTCTGTGCTTCTGTGTTTCAAAGCTATCCCTAATTGCTTCATTTTCTTGCCTTTTTACCCCTCTTTAAAACCTCTTTTTTTATTGTCTGCTGTTACAGCATTATCACTGAAAAAAATTATTTTGCTTTCACTTTTTTTTTAC